ATTACGTCACAGTGACATGATCGATTCAGCCAATTTGAAGTGCCACTTCCTATAGTGATTACAACTTTCAAAATATGTAACTTTCTTTTTGTTTGTCCAATTTCGTTGAAAATTTTACCAGTCTGCTTTTCTGACTTCTTCTTTCTTTCAGAGTAGTTGTCTATTAAGGTTTGATTTTATTTCAAACAACAGACATTCTTTGTTGTTAAATCATTTGTTTATCAAAGAAAAGTATGATACAGAAATACAAAATCACAGTAGATGAAGCATGGTTTGAACAATGGAGAATCTACAACAAAATCTGACAAAAAAGCGATGAAAACTATATATAACTTGTGAAATTTGTGAACTTTTCGTGCATGTGCAGGCTTTGGGTTTATGGCAGCTTTAAACCTGCTCAGAGGGGCGTTTCACAAAGATCCTAAGTCGAACTTAACTCTAAGTTGGAGTAAAAATTATGAGAGCCATTTGTAGCTTTATAATAAAATATATTCAAAAGCAAAAATTGAAGTATTTAGAAGTTTCATAAATCCACATCAAGAACATGAAATCTCCTTGTAATATAGAAAATATGGATGATTTGAATCAACATTTTATGCCTTTTAAATAAATTTTACAAAATTTTTCAAAGATGCTAACGGCTTTCCATAATTGTTAAGTCCAACTTAGAGATAAGTTCAACTTAGGATCTTTGTGAAACACCCCCCTGGAATTCAGACCAATCATGAGTCAAATACCAACCTTTCTTGTGTTTCCTTTGTATCGTTGGAGTTTCCTTGATGGGGGGAGATAGACCCGGGCCCAACCGCTTCCATAGCTCTCAGCGCACGACCTTCTTCACTGTGTGCTTTGGGTTGTGGTGGATAAGATGTGCACATCTTGGGTGGGAACAATCAACTTTCTAAGAAAAGGTAAGCAGCTAGCATCATCATCGTTCAGCATCCGTTTTTCCATTGAGTTGAACATTTCATTTCCTTACGGCCTATTGCAAAGCCTTTCTGTCTTCAGCATCTACCTGGATGAGGCCAGATACTTTCATGACTTCTTCTAGCGTCTCCTCCCGGTGGTGTTTCACAAAGACTAAGATCGACTTTAAGTTAGACTTAAGTATGGCAGGCCGTTCATGCCACTGTTTGCTCTCTACCATTTACTGGCATTGGTCTTTCAAGGACGTACAATCATGGTCACATATCTACAGAATGGACCTTTTTTGATAGTTCATTATTGAAGGAAAACATATTATCTAAAGATCATATTGTGAGACCAATGGTGAGAGCAACCAGTGGCATGAATGGCCTGCCATAGTTAAGTCCGACTTAAAGTCAATCTTATGTGAAAAATATTACACTCTTCTCATGCATTTGAATTCTACACATTTTTTTACCTTTGAGAGAAAAAAAGAAGAACATTATTGAGAAATTGCTTGAAACTTTTGAAAGGGCTACCCTATCTTGTCTAATGAAATTGCACGAGGCAATACTACATGAGCGTGTGGGCATTCTTGACTAAAAATTTTACCATTAGTATTTACTCTTTGTATAATTATACAGGTGTATGTTATTTCAATTTTTGATATTACTACTACCACTACTACTACCAGGACTAAGACTATGTGACTATATGCCTAATAATAGTAGTACTACTACGACACAACTTCTACTACTAATACAACTAAATACTACTTTTGGAACTACTAATACCACTTTTACCACTACTATTACTACTACTACTACTACTACTCTACTACTACTACTACTACTACTACTACTCAAATTCTATTACACTACTACTACTACTACAGGTATTTAAATATTTGAATTTTTTTAGCCAAAATGCTGGACCACCCCGGCCCTTAACATTTCGGCCTAAAAGTGGCGTTTTATTCGACTTTTTACAATATTTGCCCCTACATCCCTTTCAAACGCATATGAGGGTCAGGGTTGATCTCATGGCATGTAGAGACATTTATTTTGAGGAAACTAGCCTATTTAACTAATTGAATTTTTTCAGCCAAATGCTGCCACCACCCCCCCTTACCATTTCGGCCTGAAAGTGGCGTTTATTAGACTTTTTACAATAATTGCCGCTACACCCCTTTCAAACGCACTGAGGGCCAGGGTTGATCTCATGGCATGTAAAGACATTTTATTGTGAGGAAACTAGCCTATTTAAATATTTGAATTTTTTCAGCCAAAATGCTGGACCACCCGGCCCTTAACATTTCGGCCTAAAGTGGCGTTTATTATTCGACTTTTTACAATATTTGCCCCTACACCCCTTTCAAACGCATATGAGGGTCAGGTTGATCTCATGGCATGTAGAGACATTTATTTTGAGGAAACTAGCCTATTTAAATAATTGAATTTTTTCAGCCAAAATGCTGAACCACCCCGGCCCTTACCATTTCGGCCTAAAGTGGTGTTTATTCGACTTTTTACAATATTGCCCCTACACCCCTTTCAAACGCACATGAGGGCCAGGGTTGATCTCATGGCATGTAAGACATTTATTGTGAGGAACTAGCCTATTTAAATATTTGAATTTTTTCAGCCAAAATGCTGGACCACCCCGGCCCTTAACATTTCGGCCTTAAGTGTGTTTATTTGACTTTTTACAATATTTGCCCCTACATCCCTTTCAAACGCATATGAGGGTCAGGTTCCATCTCATGGCATGTAGAGACATTTATTCTGAGGAAACTAGCCTATTTAAATATTTGAATTTTTTTAGCCAAAATGCTGGACCACCCCCGGCCCTTATCATTTCGGCCTAAAAGTGGTGTTTATTCGACTTTTTACAATATTTGCCCCTACACCCCTTTCAAACGCACATGAGGGCCAGGTTGATCTCATGGCATGTAAGACATTTATTGTGAGGAAACTAGCCTATTTAAATATTTGAATTTTTTCAGCCAAAATGCTGGACCACCCCGGCCCTTAACATTTCGGCCTAAAAGTAGTGTTTATTCGACTTTTTACAATATTTGCCCCTACATCCCTTTCAAACGCATATGAGGGTCAGGGTTGATCTCATGGCATGTAGAGACATTTATTTTGAGGAAACTAGCCTATTTAAATATTTGAATTTTTTCAGCCAATTGCTGGCCATCCATTTTGGCCTGAAAGTGGTGTTTATTTGACTTTTTACAATATTTGCCCCTACATCCCTTTCAAACGCATATGAGGGTCAGGTTCCATCTCATGGCATGTAGAGACATTTATCTGAGAAAACTAGCCTATTTAAATATTTGAATTTTTTTAGCCAAAATGCTGGACCACCCCGGCCCTTAACATTCGGCCTAAAAGTGGTGTTTGATTTTATTCGACTTTTTACAATATTTGCCCCTACCCCCCTTTCAAACGCATATAAGGGTCAGGGTTGATCTCATGGCATGTAGAGACATTTATTTTGAGGAAACTAGCCTATTTAAATATTTGAATTTTTTCAGCCAAATGCTGGACCATCCCGCCCCTTAACCATTTCGGCCTGAAAGTGGTGTTTTTTGACTTTTACAATATTTGCCCCTACATCCCTTTCAAACGCATATGAGGGTCAGGTTCCATCTCATGGCATGTAGAGACATTTATTCTGAAAAACTAGCCTATTTAAATATTTGAATTTTTTCA